AAAAAAAAAAAAAAAAGAGAGACTCTATATCCAATTTCTTATCCCTTAAGCAAGCAAAGGCAGCCATCCAAAACCTGCTGACAACTATAAACCCCACTTACTACAGTCCTGGAAACAATAAACAGAGGACATACTAGAGCAGGGTGCCAAACTTATAGCCTGTGGGCCAGATCCAGTCCACAGAGCTGTGTTATGTGACCCGCAGGGTTCCCAGAGGGGCAAGGAATTCAGGGCACTGCGTTGGCAATGCATGTCAGTGGTGGCGGTAAGCAATGGCTATGTTAACCCCACGACTTCTGCCATCATGTCCAGATTCAGCCTGCAAGAAGCCCTGTGCTTTATGTAGAGTTTAGACTACGGCTTCTATAGGATGGTTTGAATAGGAATGACCTTGCTTCAGGCAGGGGGTTGACTAGATGACCTCTGGAGGTCCCTTCCAGCTGTCACTTACATTAGGGTATCCAGGATGAAACTCAGAAGTCAAAGAAATTATACTGGTAAGAAACCCTGTTGATAGCCTCACAGCTGGGTTTGATGTATTATTAATCATGGGCATTTACATCAGCAAAAACAGAAGGCATTCCCAGGGACCACAGCTATAAAAATAATCCATCTAGACTCTGAGGCAATATAATACAGAATAGGGGCAAAGCTGCTGATGTGGATGATCAGCAACTCTGATGACCACTGGGCATGTCTACACTTCACTGTATGGCAACATTGCTATGGCATCATGCTCTAGTACTTCCTTTTGGATACGTAGACACACCCAATAGGTATATCATCATGGTGAGCAACCAGAGAGCTACTTATGTATCATATGCTGAAGGAACTTCAATGCACAAGACATTTCAGAGGAAGGATCTAACTAAAGGTCTAACTAAAAACACCTTCCTGAAACACTTACAAAAGCCTGAAATGTACATGTATAATTCTATCTATCTATCTATCTATGTATAAAGGGCTTAGTCTGTCTGTCTGCGTGTCTGTGCTGGAGGGCCGCTTACTGAGTTTTGGTGGGAGTTGAGGGCCACGTGGGTAGCCCCGCCCCTTGACAGGTGTCTTGCCCCCTGGTTGCCATCTTGTGACTGGAAATCCTGCCCTATAATCCCTGACCCTTGCCACCAGAAGTACTCCTTTCAACAAGGGGTTTTGCCATCTCTGAACCAGAAAAAAACAAATTATAGTCTAAAAATAAAAGATCTACAACATTCATTAATTTGATTTAAAAAAATATTTTTGTCCTGATTTACATGTGTTTGTGTAGTGTTTTACATAGAAGTGATTGCACAACAGCTTAAAATGAAGCCTTACTCTTGTATATTGTGGGGGGGTGCTGGGAGTGGGTATAGGTTTGTGGGGGGTTGTAGGTGTGTGGGGTGTAGGGGAGGGTGTGGGTGTGTCTGGGGATTGGATAGGTGTGGGGGGTG